CCCAATGAGAACATTTTTCTGCTTTCATATGTGCATTTTCCTCTCCTTCATTATTTTTAAAAGTGCTTTTCAGTCAGAAACCCCTAGTGTCATTTTTTAAATACTTGCACAGTGTTCTGCAATTTTCATTTGTCTGCTAGATTACTACCGGTAAAATACCACAAATTTTGAAAGCAGGTAGTTTAGTTTTTCAGCCTATTCTTTTAACATCTATTGAGCTATCCTGTATGATCCTAGATCTCTATTCTCTTGTCAGCATCTGATAGTAACTTCTGATAGTAACATCTGATAGTAACTTCTGATAGTAACATTCTTCCTTGAAAATTTCACTGTTATCCACTTTATTTGGCTAGCCGTTGGTCCAAGTCAGACCGAAGCATCACATAAGTTTTTTTCTCTTATGTGCAGGTTATTTGTGTATTGTTCCAGTCATGGTATTGTGACATTTTATTCTTTGAAGTGTCCTCCTTTGTAAATGCTCTCTATAATGTCATATTTGTGTATTATCTTGCACATTTCCTCCTCCACCTTAGTGGTTATTTTGTCATTCTTTCATTTTTGTATTTTGTCTTTCATATGGAGTGTGCTTGCTAGAAAATTTTCACTGTCTCTTCATTGTATTTTTTCTTCCCTCATTCCATTCATATTGGTATTCATTGCAATCATAGCAATATTCATTTTGATCATATTGGTATTCATTTCAATCATATCAGTATTCATTTCATTCATATCACTATTCATTTCAATCATATCAGTATTCATTTCATTCATATCAGTATTCATTTCATTCATATCACTATTCATTTCAATCATATCAGTATTCATTTCAATCATATCAGTATTCATTTCATTCATATCGGCATTCATGTCATTCATATCGGCATTCATTTCATTCATATCAGTACTCATTTCTAGCTTGTTTGGATCTCTGATAAATCTCTTGGCTGGCAGACTTTTTGTTTTGGTGACTAAGTTTTCTCTGTCACAGATCATTAGCAATGTTTGTTAAACTATACTTTATTACTTTGGGACATCACTAAGCTCTTCATTAGCTTACCTAAATACACCAACATAGAAATTGGCATGTATAACTTCATCTTGGAAGCATTCTTGCCCTATATTAGAATTGTGACCAGGAGGTAATGCTTCCATATATCAGAGAAGGTGCCAGAGTGCCAGCCTGCATTAAGATCCTTATAATCATGTACATGATGTGACCCAGCTGTATATAGAAACACTGTAAACAATGAACTGCTAAAGATATTTATATACTTGAATGATGACCAACAAACTCACTCTCGACATAGACAAAACATACTTAATGCTGTTTGGCAACAGAGCCTTAAATATCCAACTTAACATATTGTTAGGTGGTTCCCCTATATCAAGACACAAGGAGGGCAAAAAGCTGCTGTGCAGGTGATAACCAGCTCCTGTGCTAGACAGCACACCCCATCACTTTTCAAAAGACTCAACTTGCTAAATATACAAGACATACACTCTTATTATTGTGCCTACTACATAGTATACAGAACATTAAACTCCACTGTAAACCCTCCCCTATAACTACTCCTTGACAGTTACATCAGAATGCACAGTCACAATACAAGGCATAAGGCACTTTTTAACATCCCTTGAGTCACTCTCTCACTATGCAAGAACGCTATGCACATAAAGGGCCCGAAGCTCTGGAACTCGCTACCGGGAACAGGTCAGGAATCCCCTGACAGCTTATAAATTTAGGACTTTGCTAAAAAAGTATCTTATCTCACAATATTAACCAAATCAACCAAAACATCTGCTAACTAGTTTTATTATGTGACCTCTAGGCTCTTAATTCTGCCAATCCATAAAATCATCATTTTTTTTATTTATTTAACAAATCAGCCAAAACATCTGCTAATTAGTTTTATTATGTGACCTCCTGGCTTTTAATTCTGCCAATCCATAAAATATTACCACCTGCACCATTACTTGTAAGGTAGATTTTGTGTGCAATTTCAAAATTATTTTACCAAACCCTACTCCACCTTACTACCTCTCACTTGTATTAAGTTTAAATAAGATTGTAAAACAGTTAACCACTACTATTTGTCTAGTTTAAAGTATAGTTACTATGTACTGTTATCCAGTTTTAATTAGTTACTATGTACCTGTATTAGGATTAGTTTGCCCAAAATGCCTCGGCATGATAGTGGCCATCTTTGTACTTAGCAAATCAAAATTGCAATTACACATTGCAACCTTTACAAAGAAATAAACTTTACTAAGTTAAGCTTAAGTTTGGCCAAAATGCTCTGCATAGCTATAAGCTTTCAACATACTCTCAAGTGTCACCCATTTCTGTATAAACAATGTTTCATGTTGAAATAAACTTGTACTCTATTGTACTGTATAAGACTGTATTACTGTAGTGAAGGTAGAAGTGAAGAAGGGGGGAAGGAATGGAAGGGATTGCCAAGAGGCTGGGAGAGAACATGCTCCAATTTATTGGGGGCAAAGCCACTCCATGAATTGAGAGAACTTTGCTCCTACTTTAGCTGGTGTCAGCTACAAGGTGGATTATGTGGTATTCAGGCACCAGTACCTGTAATGGAGGTGGTGGAGTGAAGGCTGACTTTGAAGTTTGCCAAGAGTTCCACTGTCATGAGAGATGAGAGTAGCTCTGCATCAGCTCCCTGTACGGAGAAGTACTCAGTCTTGTCCTGACCAAACATGAATGGAAGAAGTATATACCAGGCATAGCTCGAAGTGCAGGAGTGGCATGGCTGGCTGGCCGAGGTAAAAAAAAAAAGAAAAAAAGCTGCATTCATGGCTGACCGAGATTCAAAAAATATGAATAAATAGTTTAGAAAATTGATTAATAAGACACTTGTACAGCATTTGGGTATCTTTATGGTGAAAACGTTTTGCCAGCCAGTGGCTTCTTCAGTCCATTGCAAAGAAAGGTGAAAGATGAGGAGAGGTTTGAGGTAATCAGTCCCTGGAGTTGACATGTTCAGTCCATCAATCTTGATAAAAGTGCAGCATATTCACAGAGATGAGGCTTATATACTGCTGACAGATGAGGTGGAGCAATAGTAGGCAGAGTCACTAGTGGAAGTAGGTCATGCCTATAGGTTAGACAAGTTTTGAAGAAGTTCTTACATCAGGATCCCAAGATGTTGCTGTGTCTGACAGTGAATAATCTAAGGCAAAAGAAAAATTTTAGACATGGCTGTCTGAGGTGCAAAAGAATATGGAAGAGTAGGAGAACTCAGGCTGTTTGACAGCAAGGATATGGCTCTTTGGGCACATTGCACTGACCTCCCCGTAGATCAGTTGATGAGGATGAGTGAGTTTCATTAATGAGGTTGTCACTGAGGTTTGTTTATGATTGTGAGGGGGAATTTCACATATTACTCCGGTTCTAAATTATGAATAAAATCTTAGTGTTTAGAGATTTGTATACTGCACAGATATTGTCATTGTGTTTTGCTAGTGATATGGCATCATAATTTAATATTGATACATTTTTTGTTGTTACAAAGAACATTTTTAGTAAGATTTGCAGCACTACAGCTTTTAGAATCATGATGGGTACTTTAATGACTTTTGCTTATAGTATTAAATGATAATAGATTTAATTCTAGATCTTGTAGCCACACACAGGTAAGTACAAATAGGTGACTTGGCAAGGTTCTAGTTTGTGATCAAGGGGTAATTCCTGAGTCACATTGAAAATACTCGAGTAATCCTAGAATCCCTTCACTTTTGCCCGCTTTTTATGTCATTTAATTTACCAGCTAAAAGCTGCTATCATTTTTAATGCTCTGTCCTATATGTTTTATATTGCTGCATTCCTAACCTAGGATGCAACCTGCAACAGTCGGCTAGCATTTGGATACCAATTTACTATTAGGTGAACATGGGTGACGGGTGAAAGGAATATACAGTAGGACCCCCGTATCCACACGGGATACGTTTCAAGGACGTGCTTTGGATGCCAAAACTGCGGATAGTAATGAACCCTATATATAAATCTATACACACCTACTACAGTGGACCCCCGGTTTACGATATTATTTCATTCCAGAAGTATGTTCAGGTGCCAGTACTGAACGAATTTGTTCCCATAAGGAATATTGTGAATTAGATTAGTCCATTTCAGACCCCCATACATACATGTACAAACGCACTTACATAAATACACTTACATAATTGGTCGCATTGGGAGCTGATCATAAAGCGGGGGTCCACTGTATAAAGTTTAATTGATAAATTATGCAAAATAAGTGGAGAATTATCACTTTTTCGTGGCTTCTCTTTGGCTTTGAGGAACTTCCACCATCACTACTTTTGTACTTTGAGGCCATTATTAAGCAAAATTAAGGGTTATTTTTGGGTCACAGTAAACCCCAGATAACTGAAACCATGGATACCAGACCTGTGGATACAAGGGTCCTACTATACTCAACATCTCCACCTGTCTCAGGATCAAACATAGGTTCAATTTTTGGGAACCAAAGTGCTGAGCTATGAGCCATGTAATTTCAACAACTGTTGAAATCATTTAATAATTTTATTTATTTAAAATAATCACTGTGAAACTAAATCATTATCTCTTTTTTGTATATTTGCTGCAATACAATAATGGATTACAGATGCTGTAACATAACCAGTTAGATTTTCAGTGACTTGTTAATTATTCTTATACTGTACTGCACTTTGTATATGTAAAATACAGTTGTATAAATTTTTGTCTCTGATTTTTAAATGTACAGTGGAACCCCAAGTTTCAGCCAGAATTTGTTCCGGAAGGCTGTTTGAGTGCCCATTACCGAACGAATTTGTTCCCATAAGGAATAATGTAAATTAGATTAGTCTATTTCAGACCCCCAGAAATACACTTACAACAGCACTTACAATAATCGTTCGAGTTGGGAGGTGGCCGAAACTCGGGGTACCACTGTACGTATATGTACAGTACCATCGTATAAATTTTTGTCTCTGATTTTCAGATGTCCATTCTTGTCCATCCAGACAAAAACCAGGATGATTCAGAAAGAGCTCAGAAAGCATTTGATGGTAAGTAAAAATGTATTTTCTATAAAATTAAGCTTTCTTTTTATGACAAAGGGTATGATAAATTGAGATACCCACGAGTTAGCAAGCTATACGTCTACCTGTGTATATCCCAGTGCTTTTTTTGGAAGGAACTCCTCAGAGTTTGGTAGAATAATCTGCAGATGCTCCTTTCTGCACATTCCCTTGAGACTGGTTCTATTCTAGGCCCTTCAGAGGAGACTGGTTCTATTCTGGGCCCTTCAGAGGAGACTTGTTCTATTCTGAGCCCTTCAGAGGAGACTGGTTCTATTCTGAACCCTTCAGAGGCAACTGGTCCTATTCTGAGCCCTTCAGAGGAAACTGGTTCTATTCTGAGCCCTTCAGAGGAAACTGGTCCTATTCTGAACCCTTCAGAGGAGACTGGTTCTATTCTGAGCCATTCAGAGGAGACTAGTTCCATTCTGAACCCTTCAGAGGGAATGCTGGGTAAAGCACTCTTGATTCAAGGAATTGGAACTGTCTTCCCTTTCTTTGGATTAAGCCTAATTCTCTCTCCTTTCCCAGGCATGCATGTCTCCTGATGGTGTAGCATTTCTCCACAAATTTGAATAATAATATTCACTGTAGCTTACTACCATCTGCTCTCTCTGACAGACTGAGACTCAGACCTTTGATATATTTTACCTGCAGTAATTACACACTTGACTTGTACTGATGTGCTACAGCAGTGACTGACGTGCTACAACAGTGACTGACGTGCTACAACAGTGACTGACGTGCTACAACAGTGACTGACGTGCTACAGCAGCGACTGATGTGCTACAGCAGTGACTGACGTGCTACAGCAGTGACTGACATGCTACAGCAGCGACTGATGTGCTACAGCAGTGACTGATGTGGTACATCTGTGCCTTCCCTCCCCACTCTGCCTCTCACTCTCTCTACCTCAGTCTGTCTGCCATATCTCTCACCCTTGTCATGTAGTGCTGAATGACTCAACCAGGTTTAGCCCTCTCTGTGAGTGTATTTTATTGTGTTCTCCCACTGTACGTTTACAGGCTGTTCTCTTAATGCACTTTGTGCTGTTTTTATTTTATTTTTGAACATTAAGAATCTCAAAGAGTTTGGTTATTTACAGTTAAGATAATTGAGAAGCCCCCCTTATGCATAGTATTTTGGACATTATTTTAGATAATTATAATATTAATGATAATAATAATAAATATTGTACTGTTGTATTTTTTTATCAAAAAAGCTTACTTTTTTTTTTTTTTTTTTTAAAGTCCTGGCAGAAAAGCAGACTTAAACTAGAACTAAAACCTTTAATACTAAAAGAAGATACATGGTTGTGGAGCTGCATTTAGCTTTTGAATTTAGTACAAAGTAATAACAGGCATGATGGAAAAATATTTATACAGTACCTAAGTTGTGGTCACAATTTTACAACGAAATAAAAATGGTAATGTGATTTATTTTTGTACAAGTTAAAATTAATAATTGGATGGGCAGGATTATTATCATAATGCAGTAGAATGAAAAAAAGAATACACCTCTAATAATAATGATTTTAAAAAGTTACAAGATACAGTCAAAAAGTTAATATCTTTGGGCGGACTTAAAGAAAGACAGGGATACATGGCATAAGTAAGCCATGCATGTCATAAGAGGGGACTAAAATACAGGGAGAAAGTGGCTAGTAATCCCTTCTTCTGTATACATTACTAAATTTAAAAAGAGATACTTTCGTCTTTCTTTTTAGGTCGCCCTGCCTTGGTGGGATATGGCCAGTTTGTTGAAAAAAAAAAATTAAGAAATTTGCTTTAGCAAATTTAACAGAATAATGTGACTGGGATCGTTTTATCACATAGAGCTTGTTTTAGATTTGATGTTGATTAACTTCGTATATTGGGTACATGGTGGAGTATGAAGCTTAGCGGTGTATGCAGTGTGTATATCTTCATAATGGAAGTTGTTCTGTTACTGGAATATTGCTAATACTTTATGAAACTTTTTTGGCTAGTCAAAGTAAAATTTACAAACTACCAAATTCATTGTCATTTTGTAAATTTGAGTGTATTGTTAGGTGATAAATATATATAAAAGGGGTACCTTCTAAGTGGTACATTTTAACTAAAATATAATTATTAATAACAGTGCTGAAGCTAATATATATTTAAAATGAAATGACAGATGTAATTATTAATTAGCTAGTTATGGTATTTTTCCAGTGACTGGACATCCCACCAAGGCAAGGTGACCTAAGAAGAAAAACAAAAGTTTTTTAAATTTAGTAATTTATACAGAAGAGATTAGTTATGGTAATATTGTTAAGAAATTTCATTAAAAGTGCTATAGTATATACTAAATTTGCAACTATAAAATTAGTTGCTTTTGGGAATTAGTACCTATATGGACGTAAATATTTGACAGCGATAGATTGCAATGTACACTATAGTGTCATTATTAAGTATAGTAAGCCCTCTTAGAGGTGTTTTTTATTGTGAGGTTTTACTTTGTGTAAGCAAATTTTATAGCATAGTAATTTCTTGACATAATGCAGTTGAGCCTGAAGTAAAAATCCAAGTCAACCTGGGAATCTCGCTTCAAGCTAGTACCATACTTCAGTCACTCCATCTTATCTAAAATAAAGCTGTCAAGAAAAAGTCAATATAGAAACACTACAATTCTTTCAGAAAAGATTAGTTATTACCGGTATACAGTGGACCTTCGGCTAACGAACGCATCGCATAATGTTAAATCCACCTAACGAAGCGTTTGAGCGTAAAAAATTTGGCCCGCCTAATGATAAAAAGCTCGCCTAACGTGATTCGTCCCGAATCTGTCCGTCCAGCCTGAGCACCTCAGCTTCCCTGCCGTCATTGTTTACAAGCCAGGGTGGCTGGTTTCGTGCATACATTCAATACATTTTGTATTATTCCATTGTTTATAGTGCTTGTAACTGCTAAATAAGCCAAAAAAAAAAGCTTCTAGTGCCAACCCTGTGGTAAAAAGGGTGAGAAATACTATCGAAATACTATCATACCACGGTCAGCTGCTGCTGCACCACTGTCAGCTGTTGCTGCACCACCGTCAGCTGTACTACTTGAAGATGTGGAGAGACTGTTGTTGGTGTGGCTTAACGAGAAACAATTACCGAGAAACAATTTACCCCTAGAGGGTTAGCCCCCCAGGATAACCCAAGAAAGTCAGTGAGTCATCGAGGACTGTCTAACTTATTTCCATTGGGGTCCTTAATTTTGTCCCCCAGGATGCGACCCACACCAGTCGACTAACACCCAGGTGAACAGGGAAAAATGCCTGGAATTAGTGCTCATATTGGTGAATTTAAGGCCAGCAAAGGTTGGTTTGAGAGATTTAAATTAAGAATTATAGTGGCACATACACAGTGTGAGAAGGCATGGCGAAGCTGAAAAATTCCAACCCCAACAAGTTTTCAATTGTGACGAAACAAGCCTGTTCTGGAAGAAAATGCCAAATAGGACCTACATTACTCAGGAGGAAAAAGCACTCCCAGGACACAAGCCTGTGAAAGACAGGCTACCTTTCTTGTTTTGTTGTAATGCTAGTGGAGATTGCAAAGTGAAGCCTTTACTCATGTATCACTGAAAATCCCAACAGTGTCTCATCACTCATCAATACTCTTCAATAAAGGTAAGTGTCATTTTAACATTAAAATTAAAAGTGAATACAGGAAAGAGTAAGGTTATGAGGATAAAAAGATTAGGTGATGAAAGATTGGATATCAGATTAGAGGGAGAGAGTATGGAGGAGGTGAATGTATTCAGATATTTGGGAGTGGACGTGTCAGCGGATGGATCTATGAAAGATGAGGTGAATCATAGAATTGATGAGGGGAAAAGGGTGAGCGGTGCACTTAGGAGTCTGTGGAGACAAAGAACTTTGTCCTTGGAGGCAAAGAGGGGAATGTATGAGAGTATAGTTTTACCAATGCTCTTATATGGGTGTGAAGCATGGGTGATGAATGTTGCAGCGAGGAGAAGGCTGGAGGCAGTGGAGATGTCATGTCTGAGGGCAATGTGTGGTGTGAATATAATGCAGAGAATTCGTAGTTTGGAAGTTAAGAGGAGGTGCGGGATTACCAAAACTGTTGTCCAGAGGGCTGAGGAAGGGTTGTTGAGGTGGTTCGGACATGTAGAGAAAATGGAGCGAAACAGAATGACTTCGAGAGTGTATCAGCCTGTAGTGGAAAGAAGGCGGGGTAGGGGTCGGCCTAGGAAAGGTTGGAGGGAGGGGGTAAAGGAGGTTTTGTGTGCGAGGGGCTTGGACTTCCAGTGGGCATGCATGAGCGTGTTTGATAGGAGTGAATGGAGACAAACGGTTTTTAATACTTGACGTGCTGTTGGAGTGTGAGCAAAGTAACATTTATGAAGGGATTCAGGGAAACCGGCAGGCCGGACTTGAGTCCTGGAGATGGGAAGTACGTACAGTGCCTGCACTCTGAAGGAGGGGTGTTAATGTTGCAGTTTAAAACCTGTAGTGTAAAATACCCTTCTGGCAAGACAGTGATGGAGTGAATGATGGTGAAAGTTTTTCGTTTTCGGGCCACCCTGCCTTGGTGGGAATTGGCCAGTGTGTTAATAATAATAATAGTTATTGTGCATGTCTCATTGTTTTCTTTGTAGGGAAATGTATATTTCATGAAAAAAAAAATTATTTTTTTTAATACTTATGGCTGTCTGGAACGGATTAATTGGATTTCCATTGTTTCTTATGGGGAAAATTAATTTGGCTAACGATAATTTTGTCTAATGATGAGCTCTCAGGAACGGATTAATATCGTTAGCCGAGGGTCCACTGTATCAAGTTACAATAAAAGGCAGTGAAGGTGGTACTAGTGGCAATATATACTGTACAGTATAACATATATTATAATCTGAAGAAGACAGCAAATAATGGGTATATAATGAGCAGAAAGATGCAGTGTCCACCCCATGTGTACTCTTATAATGAGCACCAGGAATGATGTCTTAACACGGGTC